TAATGTAAACTATGGACTTTATTTAATAAGAGTGTACAATATTGTCTCAGCAACTAAAAAATTTACCATATTAATGTAAGAAATTAATAAGAGGGGAATCATAGGGAGAAAGACAAGAAGGTGTATGGGAATGCTCTATAATTTCCAATCCATCTTTCTATAAATCTAAAACTGCCCCAAAATAATGTATATTAACTTAAAAATGCCAATGGTTGATAAAATATATGATAAAAAACATGGTTTTAGTAGCATGGTTTTAAAAATTATATTTGATTAATCACACCACCACCCATAGACATTTGAGAAACACAAATACGTATGAGTAAAATAAGCCTGTCTTTTGCAATCTCTAGACAATCTTGAGCACACTTACAGATTCAGGAATCTCTTGCAATGACTCCAATCTGGAGTTTGGGAGCCACTGCTGAAGGATTCATGAACATTTCTTGATTAGTGAGTGAAACATGCTCCCTTGGAAGGTGAAGAAAACACTGCCTGTAGGTCAGAGTTGTTAATGTCAAATTCTCATTTCTGGGAGATGGACTTTCCTCACTGCACAGAAGGGAGAACTGAGTAAGAGATTGTGTGTAAAAGCATCAAGCATAGTGCCCAGTACATGGTAGCTGCTCAATATGTATTAACCAAATCGGAACCTGGTGTTATAAAGCAGATCAATCATCAGGCATTGGATTGGACTGGCTGACACCCAATGTCTCTTCCACTTGGGTCTGTGACTCAGGCTCCACCCCCTTTTTAATGCTTTGGGACCTCATTTCTGTTCCAGGCCAAAAGTTCTGTCACTATACGATTGGGTATGGGAAGAGCTATATGTAACAGTAGCAAAGACCTTGGGAGGGCACCCTATCTGACTCACTCTCCAATTTGCCTTCATACACCATTTGTCACATGCACTTAAAGCATGAGACCCAAAAGCAGAACTTTTGAGGGTGTCAATATATGTCAGGGTAGGAGAAGAAACTGAAAACTGCCCTGTCCCTCCTTAGTGATATAGCAGCTAAAAATATTATGAAAAGGTCATCCAAAATTACAATGTTCTGGAGGAATGAAATATATATTTATCATGGCCAACAAAGGTTTCACTGCATTTCTTCATTCACAGTATTTATTCATTCAGCTCCAGCTCTATGCAAGGCACTGGCAGTGTTGTGCATTGAGCCTGCTAACTCTAGTCCACGTGAAAACATGTCCTTTTCATGTTCCTTATCACCTTAACTGCATAGGGATCCAACCATTCCCACCCTGCTCTACTGGTCCTGGAGTCTTTGCTTCCAGCAAGTGACTGACCATACCTCTGGAATGGTAAAGGGTCTGGAAACAGTGTCATGAGAAACCTAAAGAAACTGGGGAGTCCACTGTTATTCAACATAGTACTGGAGGTCCTAGCCACAGCAATTAGACAAAACAAAGAAATACAAGGAATCCAAACTGGTAAAGAAGAAGTTAAACTGTCACTATTTGCAGATGACATGATATTGTACATAAAAACCCTAAAGACTCCACTCCAAAACTACTAGAACTGATATCAGAATACAGCAAAGTTGCAGGACACAAAATTAACACACAGAAAACTGTGGCTTTTCTATACACTAACAATGAACTAATAGAAAGAGAAATCAGGAAAACAATTCCATTCATAATTACATCAAAAAGAATAAAATACTTAGGAATAAACCTTACCAAGGAAGTGAAAGACCCATACCCTGAAAACTATAAAACACTCTTAAGAGAAATTAAAGAGGTCACTAACAAATGGAAACTCATCCCATGCTCTTGGCTAGGAGGAATTAATATTGTCAAAATGGCCATCCTTCCCAAAGCAATATACAGATTTGATGCAATCCCTATTAAATTACCAACAACATTCTTCAATGAACTAGAACAAATAGTTCAAAAATTCAATGGAAACACCAAAGACCCTGAATAGCCAAAGCAATCCTGAGAAGGAAGAATGAAGTGGGGGGGATCTCACTCCCCAACTTAAATCTCTACTACAAAGCTATAGTAATCAAGACAGTTTGGTACTGGCACAAGAACAGAGCCACA